CTTTATTCTTCTGAATACGAATAGTCTATTGTCTGATACTTTACATGCAACTCCATCAACAAAACGTGTCAAGTTTCTACCACTTCGAATGCACTTTCTTTGTTGTACCGAACATAAGAAATGCAAAACTGTAGAATAATAAAAGCAAATAGGAGAAATCGCTGCTGGTGCTGCTACTGCTGCTGGCTGTATACATAACATGTATATTTGCTTGCGTATTCCCCGTTTTTCAGTTGACCCTGTCAAAGCAATATTTGATACCAGTTGGCAACGCTGTACAAACAAGTAGATAGGACAGCAACGCAACGGCCAGATATGTAATTCAATATTTGTAGAGAACACTGAGCTTTGATGTTCTAGATGTAATTTACTCCAAACAGCAATGGGTCGATTCTATATCTACATCTATACATAAATTTCTACAAAAATAAATTGAAGTATACTTTTGGAATAACTTATTTCAGAAATCCGTATTTCATATTTGCGAACTATTGTAAGATTCAATTGAACTAAATTTGGTATTGGTTCTCCATTTCGAGTTAAATTCCAATATCTTACAGTAGAAACTGTCTCGTAAACTACTTCATCTCTTTATTATTTAGGTAATTTCCAAAAGATTCCATTTACTAATTTAGGTACTCAGTTGATTACACACAATTCAAATAACGATAGCCCTACCATCTACCGGCCAAAGGATAAATTACTGTCAATAAACGTTACGACAAAATAGTAGAAACCTGTACATTTTAATTGAATGTTTGTTAATTTTCTTTTGTGCTATTCTGTATTGATTATTTACAAGCCCAAGAGTTATTTTGAATCCCTGTTCAATTTAAAACGTAAAGATTTGACTTCTCGTCTAACCAATCACGATGCACTGCGTTTACGGGACAGTTACACGCAAGGAAAACGTTTGCATGAACGAATTGATTTGTTTTAAATGTTAGAATTAGTTATAATAACTGCTGTTTATTCGATGGTTGCATTTCGTGCATTGCAGATAAGCTAGCGCAACTTGTTTCAAATCCGAAAAATAAAGAAATAAACTACCCTTAAGTCTATAATTATATAAAGTTCTCCTACACAAGCCTTTTTGTATAATAAACTCGAAGTATCATTCAAAGTGCTTAAATCTTTATAAAAATGCAATTAGAAAGAGTACAGCATTATCTATACCAATTTCGATTAAAATTTGAGGTGGTATTTCTGTATTGCGTCAACTTTCATACAATTTCTGATTTCTATTGTGAAACTTCATCTTGTCCTGAACAACAGAGGTCTTCTAAATGAAGGCAACATTTCAACTTTATTAAGACAAAGGGCCCGGCTATTTGTGTTTCTATTTGCCAAGCTTCTGATAATTTGATATTTCCTCTTAAAAACTTGTTCTCTCAATTACGAGCGCCAGATGTACAATAGCCATCGCAAACTTGCACTCCACAGAAAAACGAAGAACAAAAACCACAATTTTAATAAGTAACGAGTAAATAGGTCAATCTTGTATTGTGTTCTTTCGTTAGAAAAGGTTAATGGCGATGTTTAAATAATTTTCTTCAAGGACTTGGTACTGTATTCTCATTTTCCCGTTGTTGTAGCACGTCAAGTTGGCAATAGGATCAGCTGTAGGAATGAGTCAAGTTACCCTAAGGCTTTGGCCTAGCCGCTCGAGATTTACGGTTCTCAATTTTATTCCATTTCAGCTGCAAACTTTACGACTGGTACCGAAGTTTAAATGAGAGATTGTGAAAAACATTAAATCCCGAAAGTAGTAAAAGTCCGACTGGCTCTAAGACTGAAACGTTGCCGTGCAATTAGATTCTTCGCCGAAATGAAAATCAGAAAAAACTCCACGAATCTAAATCAACTTTATCGTAGTAACAGAACTTCAACATTCAAATTGTGATGACCGATAAATAAGAACTGCAAAATTTATTACTACAGAAACAAGTAAACTACCCCATGGATACAGATATTTATCCCCCAACAGCCGGTGGCGTTTGCGAAGGTATTGAGTGACTTGAGAAGTCGACCTTTGTTTTCACCCCTGATCAGCATCATCAGAAGATTCTATGCAATAATGTCACCTGTTTATTTTGTTTGCATTCATCACTAAATTTGGAAAACACACTTTTTCCTGTTTTTCCAAAATACCCTCAACCTAGGCCTGCTAAGTTCGTTACAACTTGAAAGCAATTTTGTGGAATTATGATTATTGTCGTAACTACTATCGTGCATATTTCATCTTCCGATTGCTAGATGGCGCAACTGAAGAATGGCGCTCGTAAGCCATTTTGAATTTGTTCAACTGTTTTTATGTAATATTTCGCTAAAAATGTAATCCAGACCGACTCTTTGTAAAGTAAAATTTGCGAAATCTGTGGAACAACCACGTTAAATATGCACGTAAATTAGCAGTAATGAAAACGGATCTATCCCATAATAAAGCCGACTAAAATTGTGGCAACTGTCGTTTTAATGACGTGCTCGTATGAATATGAAACTCGCTCGTTTTAATGGCACGACTTTTTCGATTGAAATGCGACAAAAACGGTAGCCATTAGTTCGACATAACAACGACAACTTGCAACGAATATGAGACCATCAAGCATCGTCTGGAAACCGCACTGCATCAACTTTTAAAAAAACTTTTGGGTGTTTCATTAGTAGCTGGTGGGCGGAGAGTCCTTGTGGACTACGCAGGACAGTAGCGGGAAGACCCTCCTTGTGAGAATATTGCTGTCCTAGAATCTTCCTAAGTGAAAGGACCAGAGCAGAAGGACCCGGAATTGAAAAGGTGTCCCCCTAAGTCCTAAGCAATGCTCCAAACCTCTAGAGCATATCTAAAACAAGACTCCACGAGTGACTTACAATGCATCAGCTAACTAAATCTAAAGCTTCAAGGAAAAGGAAACTCTTCATTTGAAAATAAATTGCTTCTTTTGACAGAAGATATGGAGATGGACACATTGTTGCATTTCCAAACCTTCAGGAATCATTGGAATTGAAACAGTGCTTCTATTGGCACTGATTGTTACTTCACAAGAACAATCAAAACCATGAAGGATCTCTTTGCTGAATGATTTGATCAGTTCAAAATAGTACCTTGATTGCCTTGGCTTTCATTGCGAATCCTTTCAATGCAAACAGCAAAGACCTAATTTCACTCCGTTTAATATCAATTCTGGCTCATTTGAAATCCAATTACTAGATTTAAAAAGCAAAGATTTGTGGAGTTCGAAAATTTACGAGTCTAAGTAGTAGCATAGAAGAGGTGGAAAGGTAGAGATGTCTTTTGATATCGCAGCATAAGTGGATAGCTCTAAAAGGGATGTCTAAGCCTGGTGCACTAAGTTTCGATACCTGGAATAACCTTCCGGAATGCTATGACCAAATAAAAAATTGCTTTTGGTGTGCTGACGATCTTTAGGTCAACGTAGTCGTGGAAGCAACATCTTCTACGAATTTAAAAAGTAGTAACAAGCTAAGAATTCTAATAGCTAATCAGAATTTAGAGTTCATGTTCACTATCTACAGCTAATTTAGAATGGCATGATCTTTGACCTTGGGTTGAGCACTCATAAAACTCCGCCCTTTTACTGATTTGTACATTTCTATCTCTTAATAACGTTCGCCGATATTTTATTACAGTTTATCTGAAGTGAGGCATAAGTTTTGTAATGTTTTCAATCAAATGTACAAGATGAATGGATAAGGACCGCTTCTCGCTCATCTAAAGCTCCATGTCGTTCTTTATGACCTATATCAACAAAATAAAAAAGAAATCTGTACAAAGGATACTTTGTAGATAATTAAACGCCGTGTCAGTTAACAGTTAAACGTCTGTCTGTCGTCTTTTAATAAGACAAACGAAGAACGTAACGGTTCTAATAAATTTGCCAAGCAAAAGTCCAATGTGCTTTTAGCAAAGCTCCTATTCTCTCTGATTTCGAAAAACGCAGCAATTGTTTAGTCAAATTTAATAAACTTGTTTGTACCTAATATCTCTCTCTCTCTGAGCCCTTTAAGTCGCTTAATAATAAGGAATTAATTGAAAACGAAGGAAATTGTCATGTAAAGCTAGAAAGTTTTGCAAAGAAATTTTAATTAACAAATACTTGCGTTTTTGCGAAAACAAATTCCCGTTTGTTATGAAAAACAGTACAGCGTTGTACATGAAATATGTATTTCGGTTTTGGAAATTTGGCAGCGCTCGCAAGCGATTTCGTCGACCAGTCATATAAACTGATAATTGAAATTGATTGCAACTATCAATTATTATCGTTGGTGAAGTCCCTGGAGCATGTTCGAATTCACCGGGACTTTGTCAACGTGTTTTATTTGTATTGTGTGTATATGACATTTGGCAGTGACAACTCGATTGTATTAAACACTAAATGTAGCCAGGAACCACAGCAGATGGAATAAATTTACTAATTAAATTGTACGAATTAATTTGTCATCAGAAGTTTGAAATAATTAAAATGATACGCTAACGAATGGGCCTATGATGATAATAAAACGACTGATCAAAAGTATTTCATATAATCTATTAAGAAATATGTAATTTATTGTATTTTTCGTCACCATTGCTGTGTCACCTCTCGTAGCTTAGTGATCAGAGCGTTGGCACATCTTTACTGTTTGTTATATTGTAATAGTCAGTAAGAGCATATATTTTTGTATGAAACAATTTTTAATAAACTATATTTTTGAGTTGAGTTGAGTTGGCACATCAAGCTAAAGGTCCGGGGTTCGATTCCCGGCGAGGGTATGAGAGCAGCAACAATTTTTCTTCATTAATTTGAGGTAATCGGTATAAGGTTGAAAATGAATTCACACTATTATTTAATTAAATTGATCGAAGATCAATTTTTCGGTCAATATCGTTGAAAAGAATGAAGAAACCCTTTAAGAAGTTGAAAAAATTGTTTAGTTTTAATGTCTTATCTTGTTTGAAATGTTTTCGATTTTACTGTCTAAAAAGTAACCGTTTGTTTCAGTAGATGGGCAAAAGGATCACTGTAATAAAACGGTGGATATATACGAGGACGTGTCGAGTCCGGATTTAATGCCGGAAAACTTTGGAAAACCTCTCACTTGCTGGTATCGTTTCCGGTCATTTAGAGGTACTCCAAAAGACTGGATATTGCGAATTAAATTTAACAAGTTCAAAGTGGGAACTCTACTCAACGCGAGCCATTGTCAGGGAGGTTACATGCAGGTCAGCACTTTTATTTTTCTTTCATTCACATCACTAAATATTGCACCATTTTTTACCCAATCAGTCCCAAAATAAATTTAAAAAGATTTTATTTCTATTTGCGGACAAATTCCTCGTGTTGTGATAATTTTTACAACGTTTTATAAACGAAGGAATCCTAGCAAATTCCTTAAAATTGAGTAAACTGGTGATTCTGTGGGTAATAATAAGTAATTTTAAACATACATACAATTTAGACATCTTTTTAGAAGTGAGTTAGTTTAATATGAAATATTATACTGAAAATTCAATTTCTGATTTTTTTTTACCCACCACACGCTATCTCAAATTAATGAGGGAAAAATTGTTGCTATTGTCACACCCCGCCGGGAATCGAACCCGGGACCTTTGGCTTTACGCACCAACCGACCTACAAGGTTAACGATCCGTCGATCTGATGTAACTATATACTGAATATACTATGATTAAACATACATACAATTTAGACATCTTTTTAGAAGTGAGTTAGTTTAATATGAAATATTGTACTGAAAATTCAATTTTTAAATTTTTTATCCACTACACGCTATAGCGTGTAGGTTGGTTGGTCGTGGTTGCTATTGTCGCCTCTCGTAGTTTAGTGGTCAGAACATTGGTGCGTAAAGCCAAAGGTCCCGGGTTCGATTCCCGGCGGGGGTGTGACAACAGCAACAATTTTTCCCTCATTAATTTGAGGTAGCGTGTAGTGGGTAAAAAATTCAGAAATGAATTTTCAGAATAATATTTCATATTAAACTAACTCACTTCTAAAAGATATCTAAATTATATGTATGTTTAATCATAGTATATTCAGTATATAGTTACATTAGTTCGACGGATCGTTAACCTTGTAGGTCGGTTGGTCGTGGTTGTTGTTGTCACCTCTCGTAGTTTAGTGGTCAGAACATTGGTGCGTAAAGCCAAAGGTCCCGGGTTCGATTCCCGGCGGGGGTGTGACAACAGCAACAATTTTTCCCTCATTAATTTGAGGTAGCGTGTAGTGGGTAAAAAATTCAGAAATGAATTTTCAGAATAATATTTCATATTAAACTAACTCACTTCTAAAAGATATCTAAATTATATGTATGTTTAATCATAGTATATTCAGTATATAGTTACATTAGTTCGACGGATCGTTAACCTTGTAGGTCGGTTGGTCGTGGTTGTTGTTGTCACCTCTCGTAGTTTAGTGGTCAGAACATTGGTGCGTAAAGCCAAAGGTCCCGGGTTCGATTCCCGGCGGGGGTGTGACAACAGCAACAATTTTTCCCTCATTAATTTGAGGTAGCGTGTAGT